CAGGCTTGGGAGCAGAATTGACCAGGCAGAGGAAAGAATCTCAGAACTTGAAAATCAAAATATAGAACTAAACAAGTTGGACAAAAACAAGGAAAAAGGGCTCAGGAAGAATGAGCAAAGCCTATGAGAGGTTTGGGGTTCTGTAAAGAAACCAAATCTGCAGTTAACTGACATCCCTAAGACAGAAGGGCAAACTGAGAGCACCCTAGAACCAACCTCCAAGAAAATTCCCCTATCTCACCAGAGAGACAACCATCCAAACACAAGAGACTCAGAGAACCTATGCAAGGTATTACATGAGAAGACCATCCCCAAGACACATAGTTATCTAGCTCACAAGTTAAAAATGATAAGATGAAAGAAAAAAATCCTAAAGACAGCTAGAGCAAAGGGACAGACCATCCACCAGGATAGACTCATTAGAATTGCAGCAGATTTTCAGCAGAAGCCCTACAGCCAGAAAAACCTGGGCCTAAACTGTCACATTCTCAAAGATAACCAATTCCAGCCAAGAATTTCCTACCCCACAAAACTAAGCTTTATCAGTGATGGAGAATTGGAATCCTTCCTAGACATCCAACGCCTAAGTGAATATGCCATCTCCAGACCAGCCCTTCAGGAGATGCTTAAGAAAGTTCTGAGCACAGATACAAAAGAATAGTTCCACTCATAGCAAAAGCACAGGCAAGCACAAAGTTAATAGACCATACGATCAACCACAAAAATCTAAAAAAATGAAAAAAATGAAAAGCAAAGCAACCTCTTAAGAACATTATAACAGAGATAAACCCTCACATGGCAATAATGAACTTGAATGTGATTGGACTTAATATGCCACTCAAAAGGCATAGAGTAGCAAATTGGATAACAAAGCATAACCCAACATTCTGCTTCCTACAGGAAACCCTTCTCACTGCAAAGGACACCCACATGCTCAAAGTAAGAGGCTAAAGAAAGATCTTCCAGGAAAATGGAAAACAAAAAAGAGCAGAGGTAGCTATTCTTATACAGAGAAAACAGACTTCAAACTAATAAAAGTTAAAAGGAAGCTGAAGGATACTACATAATGATAAAAGGCTCAATCCACCAGCAAGAAATGTTCATCTTAAATATATATGCACCAAATAGTGGAGCACCGAGATTTATAAAACAATTGCTACTTAAGAGAGGACATAGACATGTATACAATTATAGTTGGAGCGTTTAATACCCACTAACAGCCTTTGAGGCAAAAGCTAACAAGGACATTCAGATTCTTAATACCCCACCAATTGGACCTAATAGACACCTAAAGACCACTTCACTCAGCAACCACAGAGCATACATTTTACTCATCAGTACATGGAACATACTTCAAGATTGATCATGTCCTTGCCACAAATCAAGTGTGAACAAATTTCAAAAGGTTGAAGTCATACCAAACATCTTCTCAGACCACTGTGGAATAAAAAATAAATATGATCACCAAAAGGAACCCCCCCAAAAACACGCAAATACATGAAAATTTAAAAAACATGATTCTGAATGACTTTGGGGTTAACATAGCACTGAAGGCAGAAATAAAAAGATTTCTGGAAGCAAATGAAAACAAAGGCACAACATATTAAAACCCCTGGGACACAATGGAAGTGGTGATGAGAGGGAAGTTTATAGTATTATATGTACATATCATGAAAACAGAGGGATCTTATATAAACAGCCTTGTGTCACACCTAAGAGATCTGGAAAGACAAGAACAATTACATCTTAAATTTAGTAGAAAAATGCAAATGACTAAAATAAAATCACAATTATGTAAAATAGAACACACAAAAATCATAAGAATGACAGACCCCTGGCCAGATTGACCCCCAAAAAGGAGAAAGTCTGAATAAACATAATTGGAAACAAAAAAGTTTATGCCACAATTGACTGTGAAGAAATTTTTTAAATTATCAGAGATTCCTACAAACATCTGTATGCAAATAAACTAGAAAATCTTGAGGAAATGGAGGAATTCCTGGCATCACATTCAATCTTCCAAAGCTGAAACGGGAAGAAATTAAAACCCTAAGCAGACCAATAACAATCCAAGAAATAGACTCAGTTATAAGAAACCTCTCTGCCAAGAAAAAGAAGTCTTGAGTCACATGGTTTCTGAGCTGAATGCTACAAGACATACAAGGAAGAGCTGACACCAACCCCATTGAAAGTATTCCAGGCAATTGAGAAAGAAGGAATGGTCCATCACTCATTCAATGAAGCTAGTATCCTCCTGATACCCAAAACTGACAAAGACTCAACAAGGAAAGAGAACTACAGGCCAATTTCCTTGATGAACATAGGTGCAAAAATTATTAATAAGATTCTAACAAATTGTATCCAACAACATATTTCAAGTCCATCACAACCGAGCAGGCTTCATTCCTGGGAAGTAGAGCTGTTTCAACATATGTAACACTACAAAACATAATTTTCACATAAACAGGTGAAAAACCAAGAACCACAAGATTATTTCCTTAGATACAGAAAAAGCATGTGGTATAATCCAGCATCACTTCTTGATAAAGGCCTTCGAATACCTTGACATTGAAGGAGCATTACTCAAAACAATAAGAGCCGTTTATAACAGACCTGCAGCCAACATCATACTTCATGGGCAGAAACTGAAAGCATTTCTCCCTAGGAACTGGAACAAGGCAAGGATGCCCAGCTCAACCCTCCTTTTCAACATTGTACTGGAAGTCCTAAACAGAGCAATCAGGCAAGAGAAAGAAATCAGGGCGATCCAAATAGAAAAAGAAGAAACTAAGTTATTCCTCTTTACAGATAAGATTCTACACCTAGAAAACCCTGGGGAGTCTTTAATGCTGCCTCCCACTGATCAATGGCCTTGATAAAATCTCAGGATGGCAAATTAATGTACAAAAGACAGTTGCATTTCTATACACCACCAATAAGTAGGCTGAGAACCAAATAAAAAGCACAATTACACTCACAATAGCCACAAAAATAAGATACCTTGGCATCAATCTAACCACAGAAGTGATTGATTTTTACAGTAAGAACTACAAAATACTGCTCAAGGAAATCAAAGATGACACAAACAAATGGAAAAACATCCCATGCTCATGGATTGGAAGAATCATTATCATCAAGATGTTCATCCTATTCAAGGCAATCTGCAGATTCAATGCAATCCGTATTGAATTGCTGACATGAGCTTTTCACAGACCTAGAAAAGACAATACAGAAATTCATCTGAAAGCAAAAAGAGGCTGAATAGCTCATGCAACCCTCAGCAAAAGGAACAAAGCTGGAGGCATCACCTTTCCAGACTTTAAAATATTTTACAAGGCTGCCATAACCAACACAGCATGGTACTGGTACAGAAATAAGCACAGACCAGTGGAATCATACAGAAAGTTTGAACACAAAACCACGCTTCCTTAACTAACCCATCTTCAACAAAGCCATCAAAAAGAAACACTAGCAAAGGAAACCATATTTAGCAAATGGTCCTGGGAAAATTGACTGACCACATGCAGAAGAATGAAATGAGATCCCTACCTATCAACACATATAAAAACTAATTGAAAATGGATCAAAACTTAAATGTTAAACCTCAAACTAAAAGAATAGAAGAAAACTTAGGGAATACCTTCTTTAACATCAAAGTAAGCAAGAAATTCATGACCAAGTCCTCAAAAGCAAATGCAACAAAAGTTAAGATTGACAGGCAGGACCTTATCAAACTGAAACATTTCTGCGCAGTTAAAGAAGTCATCAAATGAGTAAAGAGACAACCCACAGAATGGAAAAAATTATTTGCAAACTATGCATCTGACAAAGTCCTAACATCCAGGATCTACAAGGAACTCAAACGAATTGATAGGAAAAAACTCCATTGAAAAGAGGCAAAGGACATGAACAAACATTTTTCGAAGGAAGACAAACAGATGAAAAAATGTTCAGCCTCACTAACCATCAGAGAAATGCAAATCAAATCTACAATGAGATACCACCTAACACCGGTAAGAATGGCTGTCATTAAAAGTCAAAAAACAATAGGTGCTGGCATATCTGCAGAGAAAAAGGGAACACTTCTACAGCGTTGTTGGGAATGTAAGCTAGTTTAACCACTCTGGAAAACAATGTGGTATTTTCTCAAAGAACTAAAAATTTTGCTACCATACCATCCAGAAATCCCACTTCTGAAAATACACCCAGAGGAACATAAATCACTCTACCAAAAGGACACTTGCACATGTATATTCATTACAGCACTATTCAAAACAGCAAAAACAATGAACCAACCAAGATGCCCATCAAAAGTTGACAGGAAAAAGAAAATGTGGTACATAAACATGATACAAATATTATGCAGTCATAAAGAAGGACAAAATCATGGCCCTCACAGTAACATGGATGCTGACAGAGACCATCATTCTAAGTGAACTATCACAGAAACGAAGAGCTGGATACCAACTGTTCTCATCACTGGTCACATGAGCACAAGAATGAAAGGGTAGATGCTGGACGTTGCTAGGGGAGGGACAGATGCACATGGCAATACACTGGGTACCTGTCCAGTATCGGGGGAGAGAGGGCCAGCTAGAAGCCCAAACGTCACACATCACCTGTATGCAGCCATGTATGTAGTAAATCATCACTTGTATCTCGCAACTACAAAATAAAATATATAAAAAAGAAGCAAATACATTAAGAAGATGCACTGCTTTGCAACATGTAAAAGATAATTCTTGACATTTTGAATAACAATTGATAGTTTGGAAGAATACATTTTTTTTAAAGGGTGTACCATCTACTTGTCAAAGATGACTTAAGTTTTGTGTAAACACACACCAAAAAAACCCCAAACATTTGCACAGGAAAAATGCACCAAATGTTAAGTATTCTGGGAAAAATTACAAGTTATTTTTGTACTCTATCTTTTCTCTTTTATTTTCTAATATTTTTACAAATTGTGCCTATTATTTTAATAATCAGAAAAAACAAGCCATTTTTAAAAGGTTTTTATTATTCCATAACATGAAAAAAATGAGAGGAAAACAACTTGGAATTATAAACACTGCTTTCCGTTCTCCTCCGGCAAATACAGAAATCCTCTCCACGCCACCTAAACAGAGGAAATGCTGGTAGTCATGTTGAATAACTCATGGTCAGTATTCCTCAGAAAATGGATAGTAAGGGTGACTAGTCGCACTGAAAGAAAAAAAAATAATGAATTCAGTCATCAAAAATCAAATACTGTCTCTTACAGCAACTTGGGTGGAATTGGAGAGCATCATCCTAAGTGAACTAACTCAAGGAACAGAAAACCAAACACTGCATGTTCTCACTTATAAGCAAGAGCTAAACTAAGGGTCTGCAAAGGCATAGGGAATGATATCATGGACACAGGAGACTCAGAAAGGGGAGGGAAGAATGCATAGAGGGATGAAAAATCACCTCTCGGGTTCAGTGTGCACAGGTGGGGGGGTGGGTACATTTGAAGTCCAGACGTCTTCACCTCTGTACAATGCAACCATGTAACCAAAAGACATTTGTACCCCCCTGCAGCTATTTACATATTAATTAATTGATTAATTAATTAACTTCAGAAATACAACAATAAAAAAGAATAATTAATTGATTCATTATTTTTCTACTCTGTCCAAGAAAGGGATTCTCAGAAGACGCTGTTAGGATTGGCTAAAGACGCTGAAATCACAACCATGATCCCACGTTTACCCCAGTACACACACTCTAATCTAAGGGGCAGATAAGATGTATTTTTAAAAACCAGACTGCAGAATAGAATGAATTTTCTCAATGATCACTTATAAACTAATGGGCGTGATAGCTCACGCCTGTAATCCTGGCACTTTTGGGAAGTCAAGACGGAAGGATCACTTGAGCACAGGAGTTCAAGAGCAGCCTGGATAACATAGCAAGATTCCGTCACCACAAAAATAATAATAAAAAAATTAGCCAGGCATGGTGATGTATGCCTGTATTCCTAACTACTCAGGAGACTGAGAGGGTCATTTGAGCCCAGGAGGATCAATGCTGGGTGAAGCAGGATCACATCACTGCACCTTCGGCTGAGTGACAGAAGGAGACCCCAACTCAAAAAACAAAACAAAACAAAAAAATAAGAATACATGCTATTCAGTAATTAGCACTATTTTCTGTCTTCCCTTTGCCATGTTCTCTCTTCTTTGTAATTTATCCTTTCCAACTGAATGCCATTAAAGCGCACCATCTTGGCAGCTCAGTGTGCCAGGAGCTGTCTTGTGGGCACAGGACCACTGAGATGAGTAAGAAACGGCATCCATGTCAGAGTGAGGTCACAGACTTACACTCAAAAGCCTTTGGGGACGGGAAGGTTTCTCCCCACATTTTTCTCAGTGAAGGTGTCTTAACTCAAGATCCTGGTATTGTTTTACAGAAACGAAAGGGCTTTTTCAGATTTTTTTAAAAGACTGTTTATTCTCTCATGGTCAAATCTTTATCGCTCCGTATCTCGAATCTCTCCACTAATCTCCTCCTGATTATCTTCTTTCTCCTCAACCTGAGACCTACAGTAGCTGAACCAACGAAATGTCATGCTTGCGAAAAAATCAAAGTGAAGGGATGCAAGGTTCTTCAGAGACAGACTTCTGACGGACAAAGATGACACCATCACACTTGAGTTATGGTCTTGACACGAAAAGCCAGAGACATTCCTGAGAACCTTATCTTGGTAAATGTAACTAGGGACACACCAGTCAATAACCTATGGGAGTCCATTCATTTTATAATTTATTTATAATTCAGCTTGGTGAGATTATATAGCTGAGAAAATGAGAGTTGTGATAGGCAAAGGAAGCCAAGGAGGAGATAAATTCGGAAGATTTAGATGGGTGTCCTGAAAAGGGAATGACACATTAAGGAGAAATGCCACAGGACACCTCGGGGAGGAAGAGGAAGGAAAGCCCACTGTGCCTCCCCTAGGACTATGCACATTTGCCTTCATGGGTCCCATCGCAATAAGAATATCAGCATTGCCTTGGTGTAGACACAGAGATAGACCAGGGTGGGCTTTTTATTATATATTTGTTATTGTTGTATTTATTTTTCCTTCTAATTTTAGCACTCATTAGAGATACAGCAATATCACAGGCCCCTAAAAGTACCATAGGTCATAGGCACAGTGTTTTTAGTCCAACGAGTAAATAGGCCCTGAGTGCAGGACCCAGGCACAGGTAGTAAGGGCATCAAACAAGTAGATTCACAATGGTACAAACTTTGGCAGCTTGGCTGACGGACTCAAATTTCTTTTGGGTCAGAGCCTGAGCCTTGGGGGAAACCTCGGGTCTGAGGGCTACAGGAAAGCTCCTATTTCATGCCTAAGCCTAAAATAAAACCTATCTTCCTGATTTAGGGAAGCTTTGGCTCTCTGTCTGCCTGCATGCCACAGAAAACAACCTGTGAAACAATCTCTAAGAGTCACTTACAATTGAAACGTAATATATCGGAAATTTCTGTTGAGGCCCTCGATGGCTTTCATGTCTTCTGGAGTCAATTCAAAGTCAAAAACCTGAAAGGAAAGAAAAAATCACTTTGGCTTTCCCAGGTCAGCAGCTTCTACTTGGGAATGCAATGGCCTCCCAGGGCAGAAGCAAGGAGACCTTTGGGGAAACATTTCATCCCCATCGGCTTCCAGGTGCACCTGACCTGAGACCTCTTCCGCCCGAGCTCTGCACCTTCAACACCCCACCCCATCACATCCAGCCCACTGCTGGCCTGCTCCACTTCGCCAAAGAAAGACAGCTCATCCATCTAAAATACTCCTAGAGAGTTGCTTCAAATGAAAAAAAATTAATCATTTATTTCCAAACAAAAGGACATAATACCCATTGCCTAGACTTGCCCATACTCACAGGCTTTTCCATCTCACATCCCTGGACCTTGATCCAGTCTTAGATCGAGCAAGCTTGCAGACAGGACAACCCCTCTCCAAGTTCTGTTGTCCTGGGGAAAAGCACTTCCCGGTCAACTCTGACACCACTTCCTACCTTAGGCCCCCAGTACCATCTATTTTCAGCTTTACTTCCTCTTCCCTGTTTAAAACCTTTCTGATTGATCTTTGAGATACATGTTCAAAGAGCTTTGCCTTTTAAATAAATATCTCTTACTAAGTCCAGAGTATTTTGATTTGTAAATACATAGTCTCCGATGGGGACTATCTTAATGGGGAAACAGAGAAATCTTTGAATGTATATATTCCTTTTTTTCATCCAGGAGACAATTTCTTGGAAAACTCAGATATCTATCTGTCTACCTATCTATTTAATGCATTTATCTTTTTATATATCTATCTTTTCATCATCTATCCTTCCACCCATGCATTTATCCATCAGTCATTATCTTAAAAATATACTCCTTCTGGAGTGATACAGCTGTCATACGAGCATTAACATGTTGAGTTGAATTAAAAACTAAAATGAGGTTGTTTTTCTGCATGGTTTAGCAATGAGTTTTAGAATGAATTTAATCTATAGCTGCAGGGTTTGAAACAAGTACATTATAGATAGTATGCTTTAAATGTCATGTTTCGTCAAAATTAATTATTAATTAATTAAATATTTATTAAATGCCAAACTCATGATAGAATTTCAAACTATCATCTTAAAGTAGGAAATGGCTGACATGATTCAAAGTCTTACAAGATTCAAAACAAAATAAGCTTATAACCCCTGATTGATCTAAGACCAGATAGTATATGAGGAAGACTTTAGGGAAAAACTTTACTCATTGTTTTTTAAGTTTGATCGGTCTATAAACTTACATCTAGCTTCCTTTCTCCCAAGAGCACTGCCAGGGAAAAGGTGACAAGAGACGTTTCAGAGGAAGTCACTACACGGAAGGTCTCACACTTCAGAAAGTCCACTGGCATGCAAGCAAGCAATTTGAAGTTGATGAGAAAAACAACTCACTAACAGAGTCATGCCAAATACCACCACGAAGGAAAAAATCTGCTTGGGCGTCCCAGTGGTTTAACAACAAAGCTTGTAATCCTATTTGGGTTTGATCTTTAAACAGAGATAAGGGTTTGCCAGGTAGAGAAGGTGAAGGAGAAGAGCCTTAAAGTTCTCTATCAAGTGGAAGAACTCCTAAAAGTAATCGAAAAAGTGGAGCTGAAAAGTGCTTAGTGTCACACCTAGGAAGCAGCAAAGCCAGACCTAGAGGTGATAAACCTTAGGACTCTGAGTGCTGCGCTCCTGCCTCCCGTCCCTCCAAGTTGCTCTCTCACAGAGGGAGATGCAAGGGAATGAGTGAGACTTGGTGCCTGTTCCTATGCGAGAGAGATTGCCCCAATAAAACTCCCACAGTACACCCTGGAGCGACCCTGCTCCACCCGTACCTGGAAATTCTCTTTGATTCTCTTCTCATTGAAGCTCTTGGCCAGGGCCACCACCCCCCGCTGCAGCTGGAAGCACAGAACAACCTGGCCTGGGCTTCGACCGTGTTTCTTGGCGATGGCTTTCAAGACTGGGTCCTCTAAGAGATGTGGGCTGTCCTTATCCACCCTGAAAAAAGAAAATGACACACACACAGAGATGTAAAGGACATAGGATGGAAAATCTGGAGTGTGCTGCCCCGGCTTTTCCAATTCCCACAGAGCATTGACAGGAGTTGGTAAAATATAGGATGATTGAAAGTTTCATTAAGACTCATATTGACTCATGCATCATTACAGCAAACTGGAATTGTAACAGCTAAATTGTCCATCAACCTGTGAATGGATAAACAACCTGTGGCAAATATTTCTACGCAATGAAATATTAGCCAACAATAAATGGAAAGAACTACATTTATGAAGCAAGGGGACCAAAAAACCACGGGAGTTTAGGTGTTAAAAATTGTGTATTTATTATTACATTTTAAACTTCAGTCACCTTCAAAGTACTCTCCATTTGAAGCCATATATCTATGAAGATGCTTTTTCCACTGCTCAAAACAGTTTTTGAATTCATCAATTTTGATGGCTTTTAGTGCTCTTGTCATTTTTGGTTCATCTTTTCAACATTGGTAAAATGTTTCCCTTTGAGGACTTTTTTTCATCAGGGAAACAAGCAAACCAAAATTAAGTTACTTGGAGTGAGACTGGGTGAATAGGGAAGGTGGGGAATAGAAGTCATGCTGGGTTTGGTCAAACACTGCTGAACACGCAGCATGGTGTGCACAGGTGGGATGACATCGTGGGATAACCAGTCACCTGTTTGCCACAACTTAGGATGAGTCTTCTGAAAATTGTAATGCAACCTTCTCAGAACATCCAGATAAAAACTTTGGTTGATTATTGATTCAGAGAAATAAATTCTGAGTATGCCACAAGGGACCCACCCTCCAAAAGGTAATTCTGGTTTGGGGGGGTCCCCCCTCAGCTATGGTGGGTCTAAGAAGCCAGTTGCAAAAGAATACAAATACGAAATACAAGGAGCAGGCAAATCTGATCTAAGATGAAAAAAATCAGAAAAAGAGTTGGCTAAAAGTAAGAAAGAATTGTCTTGAAAGGAACACAAAAGACGTTTTTGGGGAAATAGAAATTTTCTGTATCTGTTAGAGAGCTGGGTCATAGAGTACATCCATTTGTCAAAATGTAGCTAAGATACACACATGATAGCCTTGCAGATTTTGCATTAAAGGCATTTTACAAATCATATTGTGGGTGAGAGTGGGGGTAGGTAGACATATAGTTGAAACAAGAGGGGAAGAATGTCGGTGACACTGCAGCTCAGCAGTGGTGCACAGGAATTCAGTCCACTGTGGTGTGTACTTTTGTATGTTTGAATTTTCCATTAAAAATGCTAAAATTTGGTTTTCGATAGAACGTTTCATCAACAAAATTGCTGATATAAATTAACTCTTTGTATTCTTATTACCATTTGGGGTCTCTGTGGGATCCCAGGGTGCTGTAGGCAACTAGAACAATGTCCTTGGACTTGCAGAATGCCAGCAGTTTGCTCTGGTTGAGGTAAGGGTGACTTTCCACCTGCAATTTTCCAAGACCGAAAGGTGTCAGAAAGCATGAGCCAATCACCACATGTAAATATAAATTTGCACTGGCAGGATATCTATTTCTACATTGACATATGTACTATATTTTTTAATGTGGTCATTTTTCCCATGCACCTTCTGAAATACCTGCAAATCTCACCATTTGTCATACTAATAGAATAACTTTCATCTTACATTTTTGTCTCAGTGCTTTAAAATTATTACAATCTTTCATACCCAAATTGTAGCCCCTCAATGCCATTTGTTTAGACTAAAAGGAACCAAGATTCCTTAAATAAATGGTCAGTTCCAGTTCTGAGTGGGAAAATATCAAGTTGAGCCTGGAACACCTTGTACAATACGTAGCAAAGATAGGAAAGACAGTGAGGCATGTGAAAGCAGTCATACACTCACTTGAAGAGGCTCCTGCTGGCCAAAATAATGGCAAGTTAGGCAGCAAAAAGAATAGCAAAAACAACTGAGGGGGAAAATGACCTATTTATATGAATTCACATGGCATTTATCGCGTGATCAAGCCTTTAGCTCTAAGCTTCAATCTACAGAAAGTACAAAAGAAACATGTCAAACTGTATCACAGGGATAAATCAGTAAATCTTATTGTGTGGGAATCTTTCCAGGACAAATGGATTGATTTCCTTCATAGATAAAATGAAGAAGAGAAAGAGAGAGAGTGCCAGAAATGGAGCATGGGAAAGACGAGAGGACAGGGAGGGCAAAGAGAAGAAGAAGGGGGAAGAAGAAAGGGCAGAGGAGGAGGAAGAGGAGGAAGGGAGGGAAGGAAAGAAGAGGCAGAGGAGGAGGACAGAGGGAGGAGAAGGAAGAGGAGGAGAAAAAACGAGGAAAGGGAGAGGGGAAGCGGGGGGAGGGAGAAGAAGGGGCAGAAAGTGAAAGGGAGGAGAAGGGAGAGAGACAGGAAGAGAATGCCTTCATTAAGCAGAAGAGCGATTTAAGAGACATGCTGCTCAGTTTCAATGTAGGGGCCTTAATTCCACCCCAATTAGAATGAAGCAACTATAAAAATATGCTCCAGTCCTATTTTGATGCTCATAACATATAAGGATTCCCTGAAACCATTGCTAAAATTTTAGGTAGTTTAATCATATTCTGACAATGATTGCTTTTTCTGGCAATGCTTCAAAAGAATCCAGAGGTAGGAGTACATATATATCTCATGTTTGAATGTAAGATAATTATTGCTTAAGAGTGCTGAGGGCTATGAGTGAAAAGCTCATTGAACTAGTCTCTGTACCTTGTTAGACTTTGAAATTTTATGATAGTAAAAAGTATAAAAGGCAATAAAAGAAATATTTTGATCTTGAAAAATACCACAAAGTCACTTAGAATCCCACCGGAACCATACAGCAAATGCAATCATTTTGCCAAGCTTAATTTTCGTCATTGTAGGATTTTACATCATTTCAAATATGGTATATAAAGGGGATGGTGTTGACATCATCCCTACTAAGAATAGGCAAGTATTCCTTCCTTCTTCTGCATTCGGCCTCTGTGCCCTGAAGAAACTGACTCACAATTTGGTGTCATGGTCTTTCTTTCTCTTGCACTGATTGGTTGGCAAAAGGCACACGATATGGTACCGGCCAATGACACATGAGAACAAATTTGCTAGAAAGCTTCAGTGAAAATTCTTCCACCATCTTTAAAAACAGCCCCAGAGACCTGCTCTTTCCTTCTGAACATGAACAAGGAGACTTAGAGCCCAGTGGCCTGGGGGGAGTCACCCTGCAGCTATGACGGGAGGGGCATGGACAAAAGCCATCCATTCCAAAATCGTTCTTACAAATCCTACCAACCAGATCCCAAACCTTCTGTAAGCGAATCAAGTTACTTAACATGTGAGACAGTCTGAATTGTGTTTTCCATTTCTTAAGCTGGAAAGTATCCTAACAGGCAGAGTAACATATAATTGTCTGATAAGCTTTTCTGTGATATAATAGCATAAGCTTATCCGATTATCTGTTAGTCTTTGTAATATTTTAGCATAGATTTCCTGAAGCCATAATAGCTGTAATTATTTCCCTATTTTTGGATAGTTAAAATTCTAATCATTGAGTGTTAAAGATAAAAATGAAGTTAAAATATTCGTATATATTTGTATTTGAGTCTTTATTGCATGTTTTGACTTTATACAAATAGATCCCTAGAAATGAATAATTAAAGAAAAGTGATTAATATTTTAATAGCTTTTCTGTAGAATTATGAAAATGTTCTTCAAAAGGTTTCAACTGATTGTCATAAAAAATGTTTGATGTTTGGCAGTATTCAGTGCTTCCTTAAAACTCCCTGGCTTTAACTGTGATGTCTCTGCTTCCTCCTCCCCACGCCCTTCCTCAGGTCTGGCTTCAGCTCTCCCACTCTGAAGCTGCCCTGCTTGGATTCCCACGACTTCCCTCCACTAACCCAACACCCTTTCCCTCCCCTAACCCAACACCCTTTCCCTCCCTCCTGGACGGCTGCCCCTCCGCAGGACCCACCCTCTGTCCCACTCAGGCCTTTCCAACCCCTCTCCTTCTGCCTCCTGACACCACACTCCCCTCATGGTCTCCCCGCCTGTCTGGAAACTCCTGCTCTGTCTCCGTGCCAGGGCCTCTGTGCCAGACCTTTCCGTGTGAACTTCCTGCCTCTTCCTTTCATTCTATGCACTCCCCTGGGAAAGCCATCCATTCCTGTCAGGTTAGTTGCCATCCAGAAAGGAATGACTGCCAAAATCTGCCTCTCCGGCCTGGACCACCTCCTGAGCTCCACACCAAGGCTGCCACCCCCAACTCAGCCTCTCCCCTTGGCTGTCCCAAGGAACCTCACACCCCCTCTGAAGAAGGAGATCCTGCTCTTCCCACTCTGCTCAGCCGGCTCCTTCCCTGGTAATTCCTGTCTTGGTGAAAGGAACTCTGATCTAAGCAGAAACTGGGAGACACAGTTAAGAAGGAGGGTGTGAGGAGCAGAAAGTGAGAGAAGGCCCCTGTGGACTCAGGGCTCGCCTGGTTGCAGACGGGCTTGTACTTGAGCCCCGGCTTGTTCAGGATCAGTTCCAGCTGCTTGTGGTTGAAATTGGACACCCCAATGGACTTGGTTAAACCTGCATCTTTACATTTCTCCAGGGCCTGGGAAGAAAGAAATGTAAGAAAGACCTTTAGTGCGGTTCACTCTTTTCATCTGGGCTTTTTATAAACTGGGAATTTCTTTTAATGTACATAACAATTAGACCAAATCCAACAGTTTTATCCCTTGAATACTCTTTCCTAATGCACTTCCTTCCTATGCTTATACATATTTATCTCCTTGATTCTATTACATGAAAACTCAGAACAACAAATAGTCGTGAAAGATGCCTTGAAATTTCTCTTTACCACGCCATCTCTTCCGTGGTACCTATTCCGCTGTTGGACACACAATGTTTTCTTAACAAATTCAACCATCGTCCAAAGCAAAAGGAAACTCTCAGACTCTCTGCCAGTAGGAGGCCTGTTGCCATGTTGTCCTTCCTACAGTGGTAAAAAATACATATGGGAGGGTCTCTGTAAGGGCAGGTTCCCGCTCCCCTGCAGTCTACCCTTCTGCTGAGTCAGCGTTTCCCTTGCTCTATGGTGTGTTGATCTGTCCTGAGATGAAGCAACAACTCTGTTGAGCTTGTTTCTGCTGATCCTTTTCATAGGTCTCACATCCTCAACCTGGTCTGATGGGCACCATAAATGCCTACTCACAACCTTAGAAGGTAAAATGAGCGTGAACTTTCAAGGTCATCCTGTTCCACTCCCTCTCTTGACAGGTGGCAACACGGAGGGGCAGAAAAGTTCCAGGACATGTCTGAGGTCAGACAAGGGCTGGAGCAAAATCCCACCCCTGGTGAATCCCCATCCTGTGACTCCTACTCCGCCTCACCGTGCCTCTGGGTACATCATACCTCCCAGGTGTCGCGAAGGTCCACAGTTTCTAAAATAACTTCCCCACTGGCATCCTCTGGCAACATTTCCTCCCCGGGCTGGAATACAGAGAGAACAGGAAAAAAAGAAGGTTTCCGTTTAGAAACAATTCTGGTGCCTAAGGAGCTAGGCCACACAATCTTCAGGAGACTGTGATGATTAATCTGAGTGTGTCTCTGTGTGTGCAGATGTGTGAGTGTGTGGGTGGGGGTATCTGCAAAAAAAAAAAAAAAACACACACACACACAGAATAAGAAGCCACAATCATCTGAGAGACTGTAGCAAAACATCTATCCCCCCAACAACCTTGACTCTCCTTCCTCCACACGCCCCTAAATGTCTCTAGAATATTCTCATACAGTTGGAACATGTTTCGTTTCTCAAGGACAGGCTGATTTGGAGGACGTCAGTTACCCTAACTGTTCATCAATGTGCTTAGCTCCAGTAGTGAAGCTATCAGATGTGCTCAGCAAATGTCCACCGTGACAAAGGTTGGATCCGTGAAGTCCAGCGCAGCCACATAGTGCAATATAAAACAACCCAGCTACCCCTCTCTCCTTTGGGCGGAGAGGTACATATGAGAGAGACCCTCCCCTAAAGAGGTGGGATTTCCACTGAATCTCTGGCAGACTACAGTGACGCAACATTCTTGAGGACCCTAATTATTAATGACCCATAGACATGCGCACACTCACTCAAAAATAAAGCACAACCCTCCCAATCCTCTGAGGAGAGGCAGTGAGATCATGGAACCTGAATCCCTCTTAAAGCTGTGGGGTGAAGATAAAAAGAGAATCTTGATGGTTGAATGGCTCAAGAACCATGGAGACTTCTGAATGGTTTAGAAATGTCTGTGTGCCTCACCCACACATACTTCTCGGCAAGAACCCAAAAGCCTATCTGGAATGAGATAATGATTTTATAATGATCGTTTAAAAAGTGATCACACAACCATGGGCATAACAAGGAAAACAAAGGCTGACCTTCATAGCAAATGGTACGTGAATAATGAAGAGATCTACATAGTCCAATCCAAGCTTCTTCAGTGACCTTTCCAGGGCTGGTCGAACCAATTCTGGTCGAAAGAAAGTAGCCCAAAGCTGCAGTGAGCAAAAGAAATGAACGTGGCTTATGATTTGTCACAGCTGGGGACCAAAATTAATCATTATAGTCAAAATATTGATAAAGTGGCCAGGCTCGGTGGCTCAGCCTGTAATCCCACGCTTTGGGAGACCAAGGTGAGTAAATTGTCTGAGCCCGCGGGGTAGAGACCTGCCTGGGCAACTTGGTGAGACCTCATCTCTACAATAAAATCAAAAAAATTAGCTGGGCGTGGTAGCGTGCGCCTGTAGTTCCAGCTACTTGGAAGGCTGAGGCGGAAGGATCGTCGGAGTCCAGCAGGTCGAGGCTACAGTGGCCAGGAGCGTGCCACTGCACTCCAGTCTGGGCAACAGAGGGAGACTCAAAAAAAAATATGTATTGATAAGTGAGAAACAAACCATGGGGTGATCTAAAACTAAAAAAGTTGAGTCTAAATTTTTGTTACTTGGCCTAAATCAGGTCCTTGATGGGATACTGATTTACTTGAGTGACTACAGTCAGAAAACTGTGAACAAAAGTCAAAGGACAGGAAAAACAACCTCAGTGTGTCAAGGGTTAGAGGACTTGTCCTCTGCAAAGTGTCAAGAAATGGCAGGACAGGGGAAATGGAATCTCTTGTTCTTGTATGAGAAATCCTAAAAGACAACTCTGTGGAGAGTTCCACATTCTAAAACCAAGTTGTTCTCATAGTTGTAAACACACGTAGCATGCACCAACAGAGACCTCAGCTCTGTTTACATAGAAGCAGGATTTTCCATCTAGATAAATGTTAGAAAGTTCAGGAAACTCAGTGGGGATTTGGGAAAAAAATATTTTCTCGTCTGGCTTCCTTTTCTGAACAATATCTCAGAAGAATTAAAGAATTGGGTCCTTAGTATTTGGTGAATCTGCACAACAGTTAAAGAAGGTAAGGCTTACTGCTTTCATGTTCCATGCAAGTAATGTCTCATGCTGAGAGGCCTTGAAGAACTGTGTCCCTTCAACATGCATCAGAGAAAGCAAGTCTTTTCTTTTAACAGTCCTCTCTAGTCTTAGGAAATAAATAATCATACAAACTGAGATCAATCTTTTCTTTCAAAATAAAAAATCCTAACAGACAGTGGCCCCTGGCAGCTCCACACACAGACCCTTCACCTTGGTGGTGTAGAAGATGTCCTCTCTCTTCACGGTACCGTCAGCGATCTTCTCGCGAATGGCCTCTCCGACCTCCTCCTCATTCTGATACAAGTACGCTGCATCGATGTGACGGAAACCTACGTCAATAGCCACTCTGGTGGCTTCAGCAGCCTTGCTCTTGGGAGTCTATACAGCAGGAATAAGAACAGTGGATGATATGCCTGACTCGGAGAGAAGCAATGTATTTCCTCAATAGCATTTATGGATGGTGGTTTCTGCCAGCCTCCCGCCTTCCTTGTTAGATGGTGAATGTTTCAGTGATAGACCTGTACTCTGGGGATGTCAGTATAAGTTAGTATAAACTTCAGTGTAACTCCTAATCCCAAATAAATTAGTGAAATGGACTTCACTAGGGAGCATGGAAAAATTAAATTTCATTCCATAAAAATAGAATGTGCATAATGACTAATGGGAAACCTTGTGATACAGGGGAAATCTTCTGCAGAACTCAGTAAGAACATATTTATACACACACACACACACACACACACACACACACATACCAGCATCTACTTTTAGAAAACGATTGGAAATGATTCCATAATATTCATCCTTTCCAGTTTCCACCCAACCTGGCCCTTCACATCATTTCTGTTTCTTTTTTATTCTTCATTCCCAAGCACTCTCATTCAACATTAATGCAACAAGTATTTATTGAGTTCCTGTTGTGTGCCTGACCTCTCCCTCTGTTGTTGACTGACATCAATGCACTGGTTTCATATGCAGGGGGTTATCTGAGTCTGTCCCATGATCAGTGTGAAAACTTCTCTGGAATGTCTCAGAAGCAGGAATGCTGGAGCCAGACCCAGGAAATGTCACAGTTACAGCAGCCAGAGGCAGAGACAGAAGCCCAGAGAGCTGACGGCCCCTGCTCTGACCTGCTGGTCTCGCCCATGGCACAGATCTCACATAACCTACACACAAGCTGCCCCAAAATTCAGATACCAGATTGTTGAATGCCTGGGCCCGAGCAGTACACATACCCTGGAGTATGTGAGTCATTCCAGCATCAACTCAGGTAAAGTATTCCTATCGTGGAGGGGAGTCCCATTAAGGAAAAACAGCTGCTTAGCATATGAAGGAGGCTTCCACTCCACACCGGACATTTATACCATCTGAAACTTCAGCACATGCAAATATGACTTTTGCTCCTGTAAGCGAGGAAATTTATGGGACACCTTTTCTATTCTCTATGGCACTTTTCCAATTTAACAACAGCAATAAGATTTGGATCGAACGTAGGCAAGGCATACTCTGGGCTGAAGCGATCACAATAAGGAAAACGGCTACTCGCACCCAAGGTTGGGCATCTCGGTCTCTGTGATTTGGGGCAGTCCCTCCGAAGTTGTCCCTAATGCATTGTGACCAGAGTGTGACACTTGTAGCTCATTGCAGGGCTCTGTGTGGACGGGGAGTCATGTGTCGGGAGAGGCACAATTCAGGCCCTCCTGGGACTCTAATCTCCTAAATCCCCCTTTCCTCATACCAAAGGGTTGGGATCATGTGACTTCTTATACAACAAAAGGCTTGGATGGTTGAGACTCTCTGGTAAACACTTCCAGCCCCAGCAGTCTCAAGCAAGACTGCTGCAAGTATTCGTGTCGGCTTCCAGGTTCTCCTGGGTCCTTTGCCCTTCAGGTTTTTAACCAAGAGAAGAGCCACCCTGGCCAGGGCAGAAGATGAGTGCAGGGAGGACAGCCTGAGCTTGTTTAAGAATGCAAGACAAAGAATGAGCACTTACCTAGGAGCATTGCTAGAAATTAAAGAATATAATCATGGTAAAAACTTAGAAAACATGGAAAGCATTTGCTGTATGCTAGATTGCATTAATATTATTAAGAATAATAAAGGCAATACACCCACAAAATTATCGATCTCTGAATTCCCAGAGTCAAGACATTGGCATCCTACTTAATGCCAAAAAATCTGTGACCTAAAAAAAATGCAAGTTAGAGAGAAACGGAATCGCAGTTGAATTCTTCCCACTACCCACTGTCTACAAAGAGCAGGGCTCCTGCCTGTTGACCTCTCTTCCAGACAGTTGACACAGAGTCCTGAACTCGCCTGGGGTCCACTTACATCTTGAGCAGCGTAAGTGCCAAATCCAAGCACTGGCATGCAGCATCCATCATTCAGCTTCACGGAGTGACTGTGCTTGAGATCCATCATGGTCCACAGCCTAGTGAATCTGGCTTGGCCTTTGTTTGTTTGTCCTCACTGAGAGTTAAGTAGGAAACAGAAGTCCAGTTTTCGACCAATCACAAGAGTGGCGGGGCTGAGACTGCAGTTGCCAATCACTCCGAAATCAAGCTGGAAGCTCTCATTGATTTTCTTCTGATTCTTTCATACCCTTGCAGACATAAATTACAAGAAAACAATGCACCACCTGTTTGCATGCTAAAGGGATTTAAATTTTCTTTTCAGCATTGTTCACACTTGACTTGCAAACTGAAAAATCAACCATGCCAATCTGTTACTTTACAAGATGCAAAATTATTACTAGTCTGGTCAAGTCTAAACATGAGTTCTGCTAAAGGACACTAGTCAAGCTTCTTACCCTCTATTTTATCATAGATAGCAACAAAAAGGACCCTTTGGGAATTTCTTGAACTTGATGCCTGGCCCCAGGCACACATGAAACAAAATTCAATCTCAACACACAACACTACAAAGATTTGTCCCCCTGTCAAACCCTGTTTGATTTTCTGACTCTCTCTGTCCTGTGTCCTTGGATGTTTCTGCAACTTGGTGAGACCTCATCTCTACATTAAATCAAAACCTTAGTCAGGCTTGGTAGTACATGCCTGTGGTTCCAGCTACTTAGAAGACTGAGGCAGAAGGGTCACCTGCGCCTAGCAGGTCGACACTGCAGTGGCCATGAGTGTGCCACTGCACTCCAACCTGGGCAACAAAATGAGACTCCAAGTAAAAAACAAAAAAGCAAAAACCCCAAGTGGTGTTGTGCTTATTGTCTTTCTGTATGTTGCCAGACTTCCACCAACCTGTATTTGTGATATCAGCATTGTAGAGCCAATTATGAAACAGAGCGTTGTAATTTATCTTATTTTCAAGCCCTTCCCCTAGGTGGGAAATGTAAAAATTCTGCCACATTCTATTATTCCATTTGATTGCATGTGTCAGCTATAAATTGGATGAGTGCACACTTTATATATATATATTTTTCGCTTGTTTGTTTGAGTCAGAGTCTCACTCTGTTGCCCAGGCTGGAGTGCAGTGACATGCTCACAGCCACTGCAGCCTCAACCTGCTGGACTAAGGCAATCCTTTCACCTCAGTTTTCCAAGTAGCCGCAACTACAGGCGCACTACCAAGTCCGGCTAATTTTTTGATTTATTGTAGAGACGAGATCTCACCAAGTTGCCTAGGATGGTCTCAAACCCCCGAGCTCAGGCAGCCCTCTCAATTCAGCCTCCCAAAGTGTCTGGATTACAGGCTTGAGCCTCCGTACCTGGCCACCCTTTATATTTAGTTAGCAAAACTGTGGAACCAAACAGATATGAGGTGAAGGTCAAGGTACAAGCAATTCTTGCTTCACTGATGTTAATAGCATGGAGCCCATCATTCAACAGGCTAAAAATGTGTCTAGCACCTTTGCAATGTTTATCTCTATTTGGCACTAAACGCTTTGTGAAACAAAGAGATACTATATCTCCCTGACTTCCCTGGATGAGCAGTCTAGGAAATGTGTCAGTGAAAGAGAGTTCGCTAATTGTCTTCTTTTTTTTTTTTTTGAGTTGGAGTCTCACTCCGTCGCCCAGACTGGAGTGCAGTAGCCGCTCCCGGCCACCGCAGCCTCGACCTGCTGGGCTCCGGCGATCCTTCCGCCTCAGCCTTCCCAGTAGTGGAACTACAGGCGTGTGCCACCACGTCCAGCTAATTTTTTGATTTATTGTAGAGATGAGGTCTCGCTGCCCAGGCCTTGGTGCTCCCTGCTTCTTCATTCCAATGTTTGCATCAAAAGTTATGTGGAAACATTTTTAGAGATGGATGTCATGCCTTGGAGCATATAGTTTTCAGAATCTATCTTTCCTCTGCAATTGGAAAGATGTTTGTTCCTGGCTTCCTGGAGACATTCCTATTTTCTAAGGTTTCTCAGCATCTACCACCAATAAGATAGGATTCACTCAAGAAGCTGTTGGTTCTTTAGACAACCAGTGGGCAGATGGCAAGAGGGTACCCAACAATGCCTGCCTTTTAGCATTCTTGCACTTGAGTAGTACCCTTTGCTTGAGTGTGTCTGACATTTGTGTCTTTATTCTAACCAATTAAAAAAATACTTCCCCCATTCATAAATACAATAGGCAACCTCTATGGCTAGAAACCCTGCATTATTGTCTTCTCAGCCTGCAAACTTCGATAAAACGAGGGGCCGTCTTGGAAACACCCACATGGCAAGGAACTAATGTGTCCTCTGGCCAGACAGCGAGAACTTGAGGCCTTCTATCTAACAGCTCATAAGGAAATGAATTCTGCCAATCACCACCCGAAGTTGGAAGCAGATCATTCTCCACTGATCCTTTACAGGACACCCTGATCTTGGCTTTGCCTTAACTGCAGCCAATGAACTACATGAATTGAGGATCTGAGCAGAGGGTCTAGCTAAGCTCTTCCAAGGTGTAAAAAATTGCTACCACTTTAGCTTTTTAAGACCAAGACAAGGGAGAGAGGTTAAATGGCAAATATAATGTAGCATGACATGAAAAGAGATAGTATGACACATAACATCCTGGAAGATGTGTTGAAAAGTGTGTCAGAAAAGCTTTTTCCACGCCCTCTGAGTGGAAAATTAAGGAATTTTGTGAAAGATTATTTCATTCAATAATAATTATTTATTGAAGAACTACAATGTGCTGGACACTGTTATAGGTGTTACTTTTAAAACAAACAAAATTATCCGATCTCCTGGAGCTTACTTTCCAGGATATAGAAACAGACAATCATCCAAGAAACATATAGAATGAAGATTGTGTCATATGATGGGAACAATGGTTAAAAAAATCAGGTAAACAGAGAGAGTAAGGCAAATGAAATTATAAAGAGCATAATAAGGAAATCCTCACTGATACAGAGACATTTTAGAAAAGTCCTAAGGGGTGGAGGAAGCAAGCCCCGCTAGTATCTGAAAGAAGAGGAATTCAGGCAGAAGGATCCTCAGGCCACACTCCTTGGAACAAGAAAATGTCAGCACGTTCTGGAGTAGCAAGATTAGCAAAAGAAGTCAGAAAGGCATGGAGAGAACGTCAGGTTATAGCAAGGATTTTGGCTTTTGCTCTTAGACAGACTGGGTAACACTGGGGGATGCTGATCTGCTCTTTAGAGAATAGACTGCAGTTTGGTGAAGGCAGAAGGAAGCAAACTCATTAGGAAGCTGTTTTAATAATTGAGGCAAGGAATTGGATGACAGGGAGCAGGATGATCATAGAAGAGTGTTGAGAAGAGGCCAGATTCTGGATACATTTTGCAGGTGAGCACAGCAGGGATTATTCACAGATTTTATAGTGGTTATGAGAGAATGTAAAAAGACAAAAATGACTCCCTAAATTTCATCTTCATGACAGAAAAAAGGAGTTATTGTTTCATTGTGACTGGGAAATCTTTTAGGTGAAGCAAGATAGTAGGGAGATTGAAAGAAATATATCTGAGTTACTCTGAGCTTGAAAATCCCATTCGATTCTCAAGTGGAGATACTGAGTAAACAATTTGACATTAAGGTTTGAATTTCTGAGGCAAGAGTTCTGCTGAAGTTATTGATTTACAAGTTTCAACTTATTAATGGTATTTAAAGCCAGGTAAATGTCTAAGATCACCAGGGGAGTCTCACTCCCTGAAGACAGAAAAGAGTCCAATGATTACGAGTTGGAGAATCCCAGTAGTTAGATGTGTAGAAAATAAGGAGAAATCACTAAAAAAATGGTGAGAAACAGAGAAGAAAGACAAACACCAGGAGAGTGATGCCATAGAAACCAAGCAAGGAAAGTGATTTTAGGAGGATAAAGTGTCAGTGGTGACCGATGTTGCAGGTAGATTGTGTAAGTCAGGAGTGAAGTTTTAACTGTTACTTTCAGTGACATGGAAGTCATGTAGAAGTAAAGAAAAGAATTTTGGTAACCTTATTAAAAAAACACTTTTACAGAGGAAATGACAATGAAACCCAGAGTGGAAGAGTTTAAGAGATGGTAAGAATTAAGAAAATGAAAATGGACAAATATTTCAAATCATTAAACTGGGTTTGCTGAGTTTGAGATGCCCATTACACTCTCAGGGCTAATAGAAAGATGAGGCAGAGGCTGGGGATTATTCTTCTAGATAGAAAGAATTTATATTATACAAGGAGACTGATGAGGGTGGAGTATGGAGCAAACCCTTGGGTTCTTTGATTTGATCCAGAAATGATTTTCAGGAAGGCCAGCAAAGTTTTGGGTTTTGTTGTTGTTGTTGTTGTTTGAGTTGGAACCTCACTCTGTCACCCAGACTGGAGTGCAGCGGCCGCTCCCGGCCACCGCAGCCTCGACCTGCTGGGCTCCGGCGATCCTTCCGCCTCAGCCTTCCGAGTAGCTGGAACTACAGGCATGCGCTATCACGCTCGGCTAATTTTGGATTTATTGTAGAGATGAGGTCTTACCAAGGGCCCAGGCAGGTCTCGAACCCGTGGGCTCAGGCAATCCACTCACCTCGGCCTCCCAAAGCACTGGGATTACAGGCAGAGCCACCGAGCCCAGCCAACAAAGTTTTAAAATAGAGTTTATTAGTGAGAAGAGGAGAAGAAAAAAAGAAGATTCATACCAGAAAGATCTAGCATGGACGAATCTCTCAAAAAAGAAAGACCAGACTTTTGTTCTTAACTAAAAAGCTAGATATAGTTTCACAATAATTTATATGCTAAAAAGAGTGGAGCACAAGTAGCCACCCCAGAGAGATTGTCATCTCTGCTTCTGATGAGAGGAGAGGTGGTCTTTTTCCAGAACACATATTCTGTCTTTGTAGGAGATTTTCCAGACTCCTCAATATATGAATTCGTGAGCTAAGAGGTGGTCTTATTATCATTTATATGGCTTTAGTTTAGTTAAGGGGTGGTGTTCAGTTTTTCACCTTCCTCAGGAAACCTGAAAAATTTTTAGTGATTATTATGCTAAACCACAAACTGA